TTCAACGTTGTCCTTCACCTAGGATTGTTGTGATACACTACACTAACTTGCTATTGAGTTCATCATTATGAGTTCGACTAACATATCTTAAGTTCTAAGACGTGATAAATTGCCGAATTGATTCTAGTATAACGGATACCTGTAAGATTTAGAGAAAATCCTAAAGTCAGAAACTCCAACGTGTAGAATCAGCTGCTGCAGTCTTTTAACTTAGACGTTAAGATAAATGAAAACAAACCCGGTGACAACGTATATAAATCAATTGAAAAAATCTTATTGATTGAAAATATACTTACATAAATTGTTTCAGATTATAAGACCAACTTCTTGACAATTATGTTCTCTATTTTCGTTATGAAAAAAAAATTTATAAGGTTTGTTATGGTTATTATTGTTGAGATGTCTGACTTAATTAAATGTAAGGTATATTTCACAGAGGCCCATAATATCAAATTGTAAGTTGATAAAAAAGGATTTTATTTGTTGTAATTTAATATTAGAGAAACAATTTCTAATATTATGTATGACGATAGAAAAAAATTTTGAGTTAAAATTGAATATTGATATGGATGCATTTGAATTATTATTATTATTATTAGTAGGATATGACGATGTTGTTCCTACAATATTATATTTTTTTATTTTAGTTTATCATTTATGGAAACTAGTCATAGGTGTAAATTGGGCGATCACAGAGGTGACTAATTGAAGTTGTGAACTAAAGGTGAACATCAATTCTTGTATTTGATTCACATGAGCTGAAAGAATGTTACTATCATTTGAATGTGTTAAAATTTCAATATTGTTGTCCATATCCATAGACATTTTATTTGCGATAGGAAGATTTTGGGTTAGAGATGTGAGTTGTTGATTCAGAAGTTCTTTGACATTTTGTTATTCAGTAAGGACTGTTTCATCACCGTCATCATCTAGTATTTTTATGAAAAATTCAAGTCTCAAAAGATAGTAATTGATATCACTCTGATTACTTTTTTGAATCACAACTTATTCTTTAATATCGTTGAATAGATCAAAAAGCACTTTGAATTTATTTTCAAGTTCTTTGACTTTTTTTTGTAATGTGGAGATGGTTTCGCTTGTGTCAGGAAATGATGTAGATCTATTTTAGACATTGTTAGAAGGTAATTTATTATTAGTTAGTGGTTTAATATAAGTAACTTTAGCGTATGTTATATTATTACAATTATTAATTGATATTTGAGAACATGATAGTTTATACTGTTCAGATTTGAAATGTTCATATAAG